TGTTTTTATTAAAAAAGGAAAGGAATCCATCTTACAGTGAGGTTAAGACTCCGCGAAAAGTTTCACCTCTACACCAGGAGGACACAGACGCTATCCCTATCCAAGGCAAAAGCCCACTTTTGCCAACGGCTTTGCAGCCAGAGGGCCAGAGCCAACAGGCCTTCAGAAGTCCACACTTTCTCCGATGTCTTCGCGGCCACAGCCAACAGGAAACGTGCTCTTGGGGCTGTTAACTGTGTTATGGAGGAAAACAAAGGATCTTTCATGCCCCAGTCACTGACACGAGAGCACATTAGTACGGCTCACCACAATCAAATCCTTTGCCAGGAAAGCTCAACGTAGCTAGAACTGCTGACAGATGAGTAAACGATCGAAGTCGTGCATAGGCCTGGAGGGACACAGAGTCTGAGACGAACTCGTCATCAAGTGCGCACCACAACCCATCCCTCACTTCGCCAGGACAAGCTCGTATGTAGAACTGGTTGCTGATGCTTTCCCAGAGCCTCAAAGCCTCGTAACAGATGCGCACGCTTTCCAAGTTTCCAAGTTCGCATACTTTCTGGAGGCGCTGATATGGATCCATTGTCCTGGCTCACTGCTATCAATCCCTTCGCCAGGAAAAAGCTTGTACGTAGAACTGGTTGCCAATGATGGTTTCCCTTCAGAGTCCCGTGTACTTCTGGTGGGCCCGACACCAGTCCAATATCCTGGCTCACCAAACTTGACCAAAGTGCATCCCTTTGCCAGGAAAAACTCGTAGGTAAAAGTGGTGGCCGATGCTTTCATAGAACCTCACCGCTTCATAAGAGAGTCCTACAGATTCCAACTTCCATGTATTCCTGGAGGGACCGACAACAAGCCATTGTCCTGGCTCACCACAGTCGATCCTTTTGCCAGGAAAAAGTTCGTAGGTAGAACAGGTGGTCGATGCTTTCCCAGAACCTCACAGCGTCATAAGAGAGCCGTACACATACCAAAGGTTCACGTACTCCTGGAGGGACACACCAGACACATCCTTCAAACAAACAAACAAACAAACAAACAAAAACAAACAAACAAACAAACAAACAAACAAACAAACAAAGCTCCTCCTATTTTGGGGAGCAGCAGTCCAGTTCCTATTCCACCGGCAAGTTAAATAATATGAATACAACTCTTGTCCATGCTTCCCCTCGTTACGGCCCGGGGAACCCTGACAGCATTAATTTTCTTCGCCCGGGAAGGATTGACTGCCAGTTAAGCCCCCCGACCGTCCTCCACCCCACAAAGAAGCATTCTCAAAATCAAACAGATCGGTTCCACGCAGCTGTTGGTAAAACCATAAACCCTTTGACTGCCCTTAATCTGAAGCTAGGTCCACCCCCTCAGCAGCCATGTCACTATGAACCAAGCGAGCCTCCTCCAAGGAGCTCGTGGTATGTTCTTCTCATCCCCCTGAGTGCCAAACAAACTTGAGCACGTACTGCTCTACTATGCCCAGTTTCCAATTGCCTGAAGTCTCTTTCACAAACTTGTAGAGTACGTCCTGGCTCTTCTCTGGCTCTTGATTGATTTGCCATTTGGTTTGTTTGAAGTCATCCAACTGCCGCCCAGGAACTCCTTGTGTGTCAATAGTCTCCTTGCATCTTCATTCCCAGACGACCCAGAGTACCTTGGGGTACCCGTTCTAAGTATGAACCATTGATAGGACATATGTAAATTTCCTAACATTATTATAGTATTTATAGCATAATCAAATGTTCTTGCAGCTCCCTTTTCACTGGGCCTCTCACGTATAAGGCTGACCATGTTGATTGTGGTTGTGTGTGTGTGTGTGGGTGGGTGGGTGGGTGCGTGTGTGTGTGTGTGTGTGTGTGTTTTAGATGTTGTGTGTGTGAGTGTGTGCGTGTGTGTGTGTGTGTGTGTGTGTGTGTGTGTTTTAAATTTTCCCCACAACAGCCCCAATTCCACCCAGATGAGTAGAGTACTTGATTCAGAATCAAAGCAGCTTTTGTCCTATATTGCAGACCATGAGAGCACTTGAGTTGATACAGTCCAACATTTAAGCAATTTTACAATTAGACAGTTTTTGGTTATCCTTCGGGGACCCTTTCCATTTGTTTTTACAGCTCCCCTTTTCTACTGTGCCTCGCACGTACAAGGCTGCCCACGTTGATTGTGGTTGAGCGGCAGCTGGCCACATCCCCGTGTGCCTTAACAGCCCACTTGCATGTTATGAAAGGAGGCAGAGTAAAAGGGAAGGTATGCTCCTGTTCATTTCACTTCACAGCTTCAGCTTATACTTTGTCCATTCTCTTAATGATGCTCATTTCGTATGTTGTTTGCTAGCAGCACAGAAGGGAGGGATAAAGGGAAAGGGTTAAGAAGCGGAGTTCTTTAGGGAGTAAGGTGCTGGGGAGGGAGAAAGGGTAGGGGAGCAAGTGGAGTGCAAAGGACAGGGCAGAGATGTGACGAACTTTACAAGATTCTAAATACTCGTCGCCGGAGCAGACTACTCTAGAATGGCACATGAGGCCAGCCAGTCTGTGGGTTGCAGAAGATTTTGAGTTGAGGACCAGCCGTTGCCTATGGTAAGTTGACACCCCTACAGACCGGACAGGACCGGTTTGGGTGTGGACTGTGGAAGCACCGCATCCAATTCTCGCAGTCGCAGTTGCTGCATGGAATGGCTTGGTGTAGACAAATGTCACAGGCCACATGGCTCGTACATGCTAGGAACACGGAGGCACGCCGGCCGCGATTGTAAAGACATTGTCGTTCCAGCCCATCTACAAATTGGACACGACATGTCAGGGTGCCGTACATGAGTGCAGTACTCACCCTCATCGTATGCATGAAAACAAAAACTCGCACATGGGCTATCCCTTCATAATCCTCTCGGGACAAGGCACGTGAATCGCATGCCAGCCGGATCTCAGGCGGGTCATCACAGAGAGGCATTGAGCAGGTTTCATGAGTTTCCGTAGTGTTTACTCTCTCTCTATGGGCAGACGACAATGGGGACTGATCCAAAGCAAGGGTGCTTAACTGCTGCAAAATTCGGTCTGAACAGCGCGTCCTGGTGGAGATATCCTTTCATTACAGCACCCTGTAGGTGGGTCATACGGTAGTCTACTACCCACCTCAGGCTGTTGTGTCTGTGGTTGGTCTGCCAAGTGCCCAACGTTGCATGCGGGACATGCTAGGAGAGGATGTAATGGATGATGGCATTGGGAGTAGTCCACGCAATAGAGACACATACTTTCTGTGACAGTTTCCTGGAAACATCATCGACACATAACATGTTGCTGACATGTCAGCAGGAAAGCAGGCTGCCGTTCGCAGCTGTTTGGACATGGCATGTCGAGGCCACGACGGGATGCTGGGCAAGCAATTAGGGGGTGGATGGATGAGTACAAGACGAAGGATCACAGTTTTCGCGGCAGAGGCTGGCAGTGACCATCGCTTCATAGTGTTCAGATCAAAGACTATGCCATGTGCATGCTAACCGAACTATAGTTGTGTGACGACAGCACAAACTACCCAAGATGCTTGTTCGAGTTCACTTGAATGGGATGGCACAGCTATCGTCCTTTGGAGGGGGTGCTTCACTGTCTGTGGCAGAATCACTCCGATCTACACACGGAGGACTCTCTCCCTGGCCATGCACAGGGGAACGAGCTGGTTCAGTTGCCCTCTGGCGGCTGTAGAGCTCGCGGGTACAAATCAATGGACGAGCCAGACCAACCCGCTTGGTGATAGAAAGAGTTAATGGAACCCATAGCGTGCACCCTACCGTCATCGTCCCATACAGTCCATCAATTACCTGCAAAGGTAACAGCCCTGAAATGACCTGCACGATGCAGGATGTATGCGCGAATATTCAGACCCATGCCTGGCACATGATGCGGGGCAGGCTGTAGTTGTAGTCGCCTGCCTATAAATGCCATAGAGAGAACTATGTTCATGCCAGGTGCTGTACTGTCGTCATCCGGGCAGATAGCATGGTGCTCTTGTTCTATCAAGCAGGCAATGTCTGCAGAATCAGATAGCGTATAAAGGTTGCAATTGTAAGCGAGGAGACGTACATTGTTTGCATAGTCCGCACAGTGGCCTCGCTGTCGCACTATGATATCATCTGATTCTACAGGTTGTGCGGTACAGGGAGGTTCATTAAGTTCTACAGATTGCACAGCTGGCGGAGATTCGTTGCGGTCTCGAGTATTTCCGTCAGGTTCCTCCGGCTGTATTAACTGCATTGGGTCTAGTATGCACTCTGGAGAGAAATCATCTTCAGTCGGGGGCTCCATCAAGTCATCAGAAGGTGGGTCATTGTCAATTGGGGCTGGGGAGCAGGTGGGGTTAGGTGGGTCAGATGCAGGAAGCGGAAGCTGATCAGCCGCACTTGTGCTCAGAGTGGCTGCTGGTCATGCATATGCTGCACAGGTAGTTGCACCCCATGTCTGGTACACTGGCAAGCCTACATCACTGAAGAAATCATCGCCACATTGCAGGCATCGGACTCTGTGTACTATTCCTCGCTAGTGTGTATTGAGAGCGTTCAGTACCGTTGCGAGAATGTCATTGGAGCAGATCTCTAACCCCTGCAGGGGGCACGGTAATCATGCTGTTCAAGGACAAACGAGGCCGCTGTCTTCGAGGCAGCGGTGGAGACCGGGAACGTCCCGCCGAAGAGGCATCTGTAACGGTCGATCTGACAGCGGATGCCTCGGACGACAGGGCCTTTGTGACGGCCGATCTGACCATGAATGTGTTGATGATGAGATGACCAGGAGGTATCGGAGGAGGGGGAAGAAGACAAGGAAGAAGAAGAGGCAGATGATGGTGTGTGTGTGTGTGTGTGTGTGTGTGTGTGTGTGTGTGTGTGTGTGTGTGTGTGTGTGTGTGTGTGTGTGTGTGAGAGAGAGAGAGAGAGAGAGAGAGAGAGAAGGCAGACACTTGGAGAAAACCAGTTACTGTATACAAATGATTGGTCCATCCCCAGCGACTCGACCAAATTCCTGTCCTAATGGCTTTCACGCCCCACACACTCACACACACACAGACACATGCGTGGGGACACATGCACAATTTGCACGCACACACACAGGACATGTACATACTACATACACGCAGCAAGAACCATCTTCAATTCACGAATCAACTGCTCTTCTGCAGTCTACCCTTACAACACCATGGGCTTGCACTCTACATTTTACGGCTGATCATCCAGTTCCTTGATTGGTGGTTCAATTGACCGCTCCATTTGTAAGTCGCTCCTCATGTGCAGATAATTGTAGTTCAACACCTGTCCAACCCCTGGCATGAACATGTGTGCCCTACTTCCATACATCCAATCTGACAGATCACAAAGGCAATTTCCTGGTTTGCTTCTCGTGCAGTCCAACTCCTCAGCAGCGTCTGGCACCAACATCCATGATGAACAGATTGCAAAGACAAGTTTTCTGGCAACAATGCCACGTTCTCAGCCGATTCTGAGAACATCCATGATGGACATAAAAGCACCTCCGCTTCTTCCCTTCCTGCCATGTGTCAGAGGTTATAACATCCTTATTGTATGCAATCCAGAAATCTTCCTGGACTTAGTGATTGCACTCCACACAGCCCCCTCACAGCCCCCTCACAGCCCCGATGCAAGCTACTGCTCCTTGGGTCCCAGCTTAGAATGGGATAGACTGGGGCACATTGCACAGCAGATAAGGTGCCATCTGGCCGGGGATTTGACGACGATATTGCACATGACATCTGAAACCTGTTCCCAGGTTTGCTATTGCATTTGTTAGAAGATCCTTATTGTACGCAATCCACAACTCTTCCTGGACTTTGTGATTGCACTCCTTCACAGCTTCGACGCAAGCTATTGCTCCTCAGGTCCCCGCTTAGCATGGGATAGACTGAGGCACATTGGACACCAGCCATCGGGCCGCGATTTGATGATATTGCACAACATGGCATACGAAACCTGTTCCCAGGTTTGCTATTGATTTACGCAAATAATAATCAGCACAACACATCATGTTCTCTCCATTTATTTCCCCTGTTCTTTTTCGCTGCCCACTAACAGTCACATCCCTATCGGAATGTCCTCCCTCTTACAAGCCCTTTCTTGAGAGTGCTGTTGTGCTTGAGAGCAATGCACTCAGTTTGAATTTGCAACAACTGCTTCACGCTTGGGATGTCACTTGCGTCCTGGAAATCTTCAACTTTCTCTGATTTTGCTTGATTCGCCAAGAATAACCTCAATCCCCCTCAACAGGGGACTACTCGAAATTTTCAGTTGATGACACTCAGACAGAGGCTACTTACTGTACACCGAGAATGGAGAGAAGCGGGCTGAAATCCAAGAAACACTCCACTTGTCCTCTCGAAAACGTGTAAGCTGAAAACCAATAGAGGGTCAGCGAAGCTTCCCCGCTACTTAGCAGCATCACACACGAGCACACTTCTGCAATGCATATGCCTGCAAAAGCCAGCAACAAGCAAACTCTGGCAATCGAACCATTATTTCCAAGTGCCTCGGCCGAATGAAAAAAACTGGCCAGCTGGTACACAACAAGAACCCAGCTTAAGCCGTTTCCACCGACGACAATGGACGCGTCTACTTTGAAGTTTCTTGAAGAAGTTAAAATCCTCATGACTAGGGACACACAAGCACAAGGCATCTATTCACACACAGTATGCTCAGCTGAATAGATGTCTGTCTAGACAAATAAAGGAGTCATCGAGTGATATCCCCAGTACATATGGAACGGACAAAACCAATGCCCACAGATGAAGACAAGCATACATCACGGATAACCTCCGTGAGCACCGTCCCATAACCTCACCGCTCTCAGCCCGTGCTCAAGCATGACGCTGAGCAAAACTACCAGCTTCCTCCTCACCCCGTTGCCTTCCCGTACCATGCTGAAACCATTCGATTGCTGTGAACTTGTGGAGCATGCATGCTCCCACCTTCTGAGACACGGAACGCTGTTTCACAGCAGCTTCTCGGATGCCGTAAGGCTGCCCCCAACAGGCCAGTTACGATAAGAGACCCGCGTGCAGCTGGTATTGCAGCCTTAGGAAAGCCTTGCACAGGCAATGTCACGCGAGGATGCAAGAACAGCAAGGACAAGCAGCAAGGACAAGCCTTGGAACATTGCCTCGGCATACTCCAAAGAACACAGAGGCACATGCGTGACCTCACCACCGTTTACTTGTCTGCAAGTGCCTGCTGAAATATTTACACCGGGAGCATAGCTGTCGACGAAGAGTCAGCATTTCCACCACGCTCCCTCCATTTGTTCTCTAATTTTTCAATCGCCAGGGGGAAGTGCTCAACACACCAGACTTGAACCCTGAATTTAACAGAAACATGGCAGTTTGTCGGCTTTTCGACGCTCAAGCTCATGGGTCTGCAGCAGTAGGATTACAACGCTGCTGTCTTGCGGTCTCACACTCATTTTGGCCAGAGCTTTGAACCCACGTCAGAGTGCAACCCTCCCCATCACGTCTTTCCCATGGGGTCACTCTTCCCTCTGTACACACTTTTGCTGGTTTATACAGTCCAGTGAAATCTCTTGAAGTCAAAGTCCAAGCCATGGTGAGTAGGCAGGAGGCAATCGAGGGTGGCTGCAGGTGCCATCGATACTATTTGATGAACAGTGAGAATGGTTTTCCTTGTCTATACAAGCATGATTGAGGGAAGGAGGGAGTGCGAGGAAAAGTGTTCCGTCATTTTCTCGAGGTAAATGCTCGAGGATGCTATCTGATCCATTCAGTTGTTCCCTGCTCACCCCAACCAACAAAGACAGTGTGGCGCCACGTCATCCATCATTAACCAAGAAGGCCACCAGGTTGCTGCTGGGGGGGCTTTGGCCGCCTGTTGCGAGAATCGCTCACTGCCTTTGGCGGGGTCTGGGGTCGTTTACGAAATAACCATCCCAAAACCTTCCCCTGCTGCTTCGATCTTCTCCTCGCTGTGACGGCAGCGGAGTTGGAGAAAGTCATGGACATTGTGTGAGCGCTGCCAGCACATCCAAATCGAGATCGCATGGAAAACATACCTGCGCCCAGAGATTTCTTCTTCAGTTTAATCATTCCCTCTTTTTTGCTTGCTGGTGGGAGTGGCGACTTCTTCTTGCCCAAGGCTGTCATGCGGGGGGCTAAATTATCACCACCACGATAAGAGGAGGATTCCACAGCCATCACCGGGCGATGCACTGGTGATGCTCTGTCTTTGCTCACCATCGCATTTGTCCCGACACCTGGCAACATCCCCCGTGATTGTTCTGTCAATACCATGCGTCCGCCTCCCCCTCTTCCCATCGTTCTTTCCACTGACGCCACGGTGCTAGAGCGAGACGTATTCTGCATGTTTGACCCAATGCTGACATGGCTTCCACCCCCTCGTCCACCACCAGGAGAGTCATTGAGTGGCACCATCACCCCATCTCTCTGTGGGACCTCCTGGTGGTAGCCTCTTTGCAGGGCTGCTTTCATTGGCGGATCCGCATCAAACGTAGATCGGGCCATTGGAGCTGTTGTCGGTGCTGTCCTGCCAAAAGAGGAAGACTGCTTCGATCGCCGGGTTCTTCTCGAGCGGGCAGGCAACACCGGTTGCCGAACCGTCATTGGAGTGCAAAGGAAGGAGGTGGAGGGAGACGGCATCATGAAGGTTGATGAATCAGATAGTGATGGATCTAAAAAGTCGTCCACTTTCCTCTGTTGATTTTCACCGGGGTACCCTTTCTCGTCATCATCAAATAAATGCCGTTGGTCCTCATCCCGACGATGCATCCTGCGTCTCGAGGGAGGAATTCTGCTACTGCCGCTTCCCTCTCGTCGATGGTGCCGATGAATACTGCCAGCCTCGTTTTCTTGTTGTTCCGCCTCACCTCTGTTCCCATTCATTCCATCACGGGAACCCTTCAGCCCTATGCTGCCAGAGCTGCCACCAGATCGCCTCGAATTCCGTGCAGCCAGAATCTCATTCCTTCGATTTCTGCGATATGACCTCTCACTACGGTAATCCGCGAGTGACGCACTGGACAGCTCCCCGCTCATTTCAACAATTCCTCCACTACGATGAGTCGTTCCCGACTGGTGGGTCAATGGCTTCCCTGTGGCCTCATGGTAGTAACCAGCTCCACCAGAGAGTGGCAGAGGTCCAGCAGGTACACCATCAGGGCAGGAGGTTGGTCGGCGCTCACCATAACCCCCCTCTCCTCCTCTTCCTCCTCCCAGTCCCGTGGACGAGGACGGACTACCATGATGTGCAACACCATTGCATGAAGAGACTGCTGTATTCCGACATGTCTCACTAATGTCCCAGTTCCTCGCCTCTGCTCCTGCCCTTGTTGGCATAGCCGATGCCGGTGATACAGAACCACTACCGTCCACGAGTGCCCTCCACGCACCGCTCCCCCCTTCGATTGCTCTCTCCCTCCCCTGCCGCAAATCAGCACGGTCACCAATGGTTGCTGAATGGCTTTGCTTGTTAACCTCATAGCTGTTATGAGCCTTGATGCTGTAATTCTCACTGGGAACTTGACTCAACACACTGGTCCGGTCTCTCCATCGCTTGACGCCCTGCAAACACCTGTCGAACGACCGCACCAGATCCGGCCTTCTAGCCCGCTCTCGTGACACACATGTATGCACAACAGCCGATAGACGATGTAACTTGGCAAGGAATCGCTTAGGACCAGGCAAGAGCGCCATTGGTACGTCTGCTGCGCAGAGATCATCAGCGATGCCATGTCTCTCTGTGGAACTTGCTGCATTGGCCTTTGGAGTTCGTTTCCCACTGTCATCTTCGTCCATCACGAGTGACTGTAAGACAGCCATAACAAAGGTGCTTCCCCCACGAAAAGCATACAGTGCACCATTGCCGCCTCCACCAAAACCGAACGGCTGGACAAACCGGAAGAACCGGTCTAGATCAAGAGAGGGTTCTTTTGCAGGTTTGCTATCTGGATTAAGAGGAAGCATTGTCTCCATTTCATTGAGAATGATGTCCAGAGATGCGGCAATGGAGTCAAGGGCAACAACCAGCCCATCAACATCATCGCGCCCAGCAGCTTCCACAGCATCAACTGCAAGGCCACACACTGGCGCTCCCAGGCTCTCAATGCGGATAATCATACGGATGAACGCCATCTCCACCTGCCGGCACAATGGGTCAGCATTAAAGAGAAAGCGGATAGAAATGTCTTCCCGTGGCCGTGACGCGATGTCTCGCCAGGAATATGGTGTGCCAGGCTCGATGCCACTCACCTCAAAGTTGGCTCCCAGCAGAGTGTCATACGTGCCGCATAACATGGGGATCTCCAGCCGATCACACACCCGCTTCCACAGAAGATACAAAGGGTTGTTGCAACCGAAAACCTCCATCAAAGACAAAGAGGCTGTTCTGTGCAGCTGAGCAATCTTCTCTTCTTCCTCCCTCTCCACATCCTGCTGCTGCTGTCGTGCACCTCTCCCCTGTTGCATGGATTGCCGTGGTGACGTTGAAACTGATGATGTGAAATGATTGCTGCTAGTGCTGCCACTGTAACCACCCCATCGATACGCATGCCCCAGAAAGCTCAGCAGACACATCAACCATGCAAGTGCCGTCCTATCTATGGTGAGGATGTGCCTGTAGAAAACCCCAAGAAGCAACTGCAGATTGCTTGTGCGATCAACATCATCATCTGCTCTCACCGAAGCCTGGGAACGACGTTCCCCGGAAGAAGGGCCGCCGCCCATACGACTGCTCCTCTCGGCAACATCCATCACGACCTCCATCACACACTGATCCATCCAGGCACGGAACGTCTCCCCTGCCTCCTCCCCATCCCTCAACCCCCCCACGGTCTGGGCGCATTGCTGTTTGTCACCCTTGTTATGACGTTTGGGAACCTCATCAGCAATGGTGACAAAGCCAGCGAAAACACCAAGCTCCGCTGGCGTGAAATCAGGAGCGCGGAGAGGGAGCAGTCCAGTCCGTGCGGACAATCCTTGGTAATAAACGACACGTAATTCATCCACATCAGCATCACCCATCAAGAACGTCTCAAAGGACAACAAATCAGCATTGTCATCATCATCATCATCATTATTGGCCACTCTAGCTGGAGCAGAGCCCTCAGTTGCCATCGCTGTGGCTGGTGGAGATACTACCCGAGGGCTCATGTCCCGGAAGTTGCCAGAAGTGTTGCGGAGTGGCCGTAAACAGCCACCAGCTGAGGAGCCATTATATCTGCTGCTGTCATGCACACTCCCGTACTCTCCTCCAACATCATCGTCCTCATCCTCTACTACTCTCTTACTGAGCAAACGTGAACCTGAGGATTTATGCTCCATTGACTCCATTCCTCCTACTGACCGGCATCTGGGCGACTCATCCCGGCTGCTGCTCCGTGGCGGTGTTTTTCTGGTGTCGAGCACAGGACTGATATCTATATTTGGCAACGAGAGGCAGTGGCCGCTATGTCGGCTGCCCTTTCTTCGCTGATGTCGCTTTCTTTCAAGATTCTCCACTACACATGAATTGCTTTCTGGCGATTGATTGCCACCAAAAGGAAGGCTGTCAGTCTCATTTCCCTTGTCATCGACCTTACTTGTCTGGCTATGTCTCGAGTCCCTCAAATAGCTTTTGTTCTCTGGGTGATTCACCTCACTCTCAGAGAAGAGTGGAACAATGCTTCCGGCAGTGAAGGAAGGCGACAAGCATCCTATCCCCTCAGCGTCAGATAACTGCTCAAGGACCGGGCCTACAGGGCAATTGCGATCAGCTGTAGAGGAAGACAAGCCGGTTGTTGGCGCAAGAGGGGCCGAGGCCGAGATGAAGTGGTCTGCTCCAGGCTGAGGGCGTTCTCTCACCAACTTAGGGTGATAATAATCATCAGTAATGGCATTTTCAGACTCATTCCATCCTGAAACCCTTTGGGGCGGCACCGACATGGTTCGTGAGGGAGCAGCAACATTCCTTTGGGTGGATGGAGTCGCTGTAGCTGCCTTGGGTGTAGGAGGCTCAAACTCCAGTGGGTTCTTATACATGTCTCTCTGATATTCCTCCAGCATCTCAGGTGTCAGCTCCGTGCTAAATGCCGCCTCTAATGCCGTTAATCTAGACCGTTGCGATGTTGACGGTGTCTTCAAACCCCACTTATCCGATGTTGACTCATCTCCTGGAACCTTCACTTTAATGAACAGTTTCTTCACATACTTCGCCATGGTTTACCCACGTTGTAAACAACAAAAAAAACACTCCTCGTTACCCGTTGGCCTTTCCACCTCCTCAAGGCCAGTAAAAAGTCAAACCCTATCCGTGATCACGCACCTTCCCTATGCCCACACACTAGAATACTCTCTTTCTCTCATTTCTCTTCCCTTTCTGCCAGGGAACTACCACCTGCTCACTCTGGCCCGTTCCTTCCAAATAGCCCCCACACAAAAGCACAAGTGCATTTATACAATATGCTATAACAACATACTCCTCTAGCATTTCCCCCCTCACTCTCTCTCTCTCTCTTTCTCTCACTGCGCTTCCGTTCCTCTTAGGAACATGTCAACTGCATGTTCTGTTCCGTTCCGAATCACCCTCCACACTTACAGAGACACATTTAGGCACCATGTTATTGACACTCTTCCTTCTCTTCCCACTGCATTCCTTTGCGCCTTACCCCTTTATCTCTTTATTGGGTCTCCAGACTCTTCACCAAACCCTGCAAATCATAATACCAAGCAACACAAACCGAGCAAAGGAAACAGATCCCCAAGTCAGTCAGTCGATGAACATTCCTGATCTCTGCCCTCTTGCCTCTTTCATGCCTCAAGAAACTGCCTTAATCAAATATTCATACATTCATGCATGCATGGGTCAGGTTTACTGCATTCGACATGTTTTCTTACTTACTCGCCTCGTCCCCGCATTTTTCATTTTGGTACTGTGGATAGGCACTAGCCACGACCTGTTTACGAGTCCTCAATGGGGTGCACAAATGGGAGAATCTGCAGATGCACCGAAGATTGGTGATGAAAATCTGCTGTAATGATCGACTGCTTTCATCACTTTGATCTCTCTTCATGATGAGCTTCTCAGTCTTTTAATGGCCATCTAGTTGGCATCTACTTAATTTTTTTTCCCCTTCTTGGACACACGAAATGAGGACTTCTGTTTCCAGGTACCCTGGAGAAGGGATTTACTCCAGGCATTTACGGCAGAGCTAGCCTCCATTGTGCAACCTGAAAGGGTTTCACCCAGTTCGTGCAACAATTGCAGCTACCGGGGCTTGATCCCCAGACTTTCCCCAACCCAGTGTACAGTACGTTTGTGTTGTTCGTTGACCCCGTGTGCCTTGAACCCACTACCTGTCCCCAAACTCGTGTACAAATGCCTTGTGTGTGAAGCCCTGGTCGTGTGCATTGGATCCGTAGGTCTATTGTTTAGAAGTCTTAGGGTCGTCTGTAGGTGTCCCGAAAAGGCAAGTTTACAGTTGACCTTTCGAAAGGTCAACTGGCTGTACATCCTCTGAAAGGTCAGTAGGCCATGGCTAGGTTAGGTCTCGAAGAGTCAACTTGACCTCTCGAAGTCAGTAGAGGCAGCCCGTCAAATCTCTGAAAGTTCAAGAGTCCCAAGTCAACCCCGAAGGGGCACATGAAAAGGCAGTCCCAGTGTCGTTTTACCAGAGTCGGACTGCACATCTCGAGGGCCTGGTACATCGAGCAGGCCCAGACCACCAAACAAAACAGTATAAACAAAGAGGCAGTGATCAGTCATGGACTGATTCTGAGACAAACTACACGGAAGCACTGCTTGAGTGACTTGTGCGTTGAATCACAGGTGGTCAGCAGGAGAGCCCATGTTGAAGAGGGCAAGCGGCCATAGCCGCTAGCAGGAGGAAGATGACGGCGGCCATAGCCGCCCGTGTGTAGAAGATAGAAGGTAGAAGATAGTGTGTGTGAGTGTGGACATTCAGGGTATATCCAAGTGTTGTGTGCGTACGTGCGTGTGAGTGTGTCTGATGGTTGATACAGTGTTCGGGTGGGAATTTCAGACTGGCGCTCAGACGCCACAGCCGCAAGATGTGACAAGTTGTATTGAGCCAAGTTCCTGGCCGAAGGCCACATCCCTGAGTTTTCTGTGTGGGCGCACTGCGCCATCTCAAGCCGTTGCTGATTCTGCTTTGAGGAAGTTGTTTTGCCATCAGCATCTGCATGTATGCGTGTTGGACGTGAAATCGAGACAAGTCTGAATGCAGTGGTATCGGAGCTGGTTCCCGTTGTCTGCACAACCATAGCAGAGGACGGGAGAGAAGACTAGTGACGAAGAAGAAGGTGAGAGAAGAGAGAGGTGACAAAGAAGAAGGTGACAGCAGCCATAGCCAAACAACGACGAAGAAGAAGTCATCCATAGCCGAGCTCGAGGACGAAGAAGAAGTGGGTGAAGTGGACGAAGGTGACCAAGAGAGAGGAAGCCAGGTGGTCAAAGGATTGACCGGAGGTACAGTTGGCTAAGTTGACCATTGACCAAGCTTGGAGTGCAGAGCGAGGAGCAGTATAATCTCATCAAGCCTTGGCCCTTGTCCTTTTACGCTCTATGGATGGTGCACACTCACCTTGGTACTTGCTGCAGTCGAGTTTGTCTTGCAGGTTGTCTGTCGTCATTTTCTGCATTGAGTCACTCGTGTCCAGGTCGTCGTAGGTTCCATGTATGCGGTCGGATGGAGGCTGAGGGGATGACGTATGCACGGGGCTTAGTAGGGGTGAAGTATATCTGACGCTGGACGACCTGAGGAACAGCCCCCAAGGACCGGTACGGACCGGCAGGCCGCTCTGGGTGGTACACTATTCCGTAACTCCGAGCTGCAGGTCACGCATCCAGTCTGTCTAAGTCTTGAGAGAACTCTGGCTGTGATCGTCGTCCTGTCTACGACATTAAATAATTCTTGAGGAGTTTAGGGGATCTCCTTCAATGCCTCCTGATCAGCCAGTAGTCCTGTAGTGACAGACTAGGCCGTAGTAATAGCATAGCATCAAGCAGTTGACAGAGGGACAATTGGAACCCAAAGCCAGGGGGATCCAACTGTGGGTGCACGGGCATCCGACGGTTGTGGAAAGATTGGACTGTGGTTGCGAAAGAATCCGACGGCAGTGGTAGCCTGGCTAGGGTGGAAGAGAGAACCTTTGTAGTCATATAGTGTGGTCAGTGTCTAAAGTTGTTAAGGGTTAGTCTAAGTGTTGAGGAGCAAAATCACCTATGATTGTGCCCCAGTCCGACATGGACGACTACCCAATGTTCGCCTTTATCATGGGCCTCTCCCTTTGGGGCCCCTTGATCCATTTCCTCTTCCCATTGGAGTTCTGGAGAACCGTTCGTTGTGCTGTGACTACCCAGTCTGGACTCCAGACCTGTCCGTAGAGTAAAGACCAGGAGGAGAAGGCTGTCACAATTCTTCGAGAACAGAAGGAGAGAAAGGAGAAGAAAACTTTGGAGAAACAGGCCAAGAAGCTGGCCTTGCTGGAAGAAGAAGCGACCCAGAAGAAAAAAATGGAGATGGCGGCGTGGAAGAAGGAACAGGAGGCGATTCTGGCCAAAGAAGAAGAAGAGGAAGAAAGCGTAGCATAGGGGACCCCGCTGCAGAGAGCAAAAGAGAAGCAAGCAGAAAGGGGCCCAGAAGAAAGGAAGGAGGAAAGAGGAGAAAAACTAGTACAGGCCTAGCCCCACCGGAAGAGGTCGAGAAGGTTGTGAAGGAATCGGTGGCAGGACAATCCCTGGGGGAAGATAGGGAAGCAGAGTTGGATGTCCCCCAAGCAGAAAGAGAAGCAATAGAAAGAGAGTTGGAAAGAGAGAGGATCCCCCTACGTCATAAGGTGAGAAAGCAGGAGAGGCCGTTAAAATGGAAATTGTGCCTCGCGAAGGAGAAGACGAGGCAATTGGAAATGGGAGACAACTTGAAGACGGAGGAGGAATTGAAGGCGGTAGAAGTGCGGCTGGGTCAGATGGGAGAAGAAAAAGAAATTGGGAAAAAGATTGATACCCTCTCCCATGGTTTGGCCTCTGTTCTGGCAGCTCAGCGAGAACAAATAAAACACCTTCATGGGCACGATATAGCACTTGAATCCGTACAAGCCAGATTCCACGACTTTGCCCAAGAGATGATGATTCATCTCATCAACGAGATGTGGATGGCAATCGGTAAGACAAAGAAGTTTTGCACCAATGCGATCGAGGGTGTCAAGATGGCAGTCCCCAAGGAAAAAGAGCCACAACCCCGCCGAGAGAGAGTCAAAGTTCCTTCCCTGAGCCCTACAATGGGAAAAGGGGTGAGGACTTTGACAATTGGGAAGCTAGCATTAAGGGGCCACAATTGAGAACCATACTAAAGCATTGTCAAGATTGAGGAGAACGTTGATTTGTTGACCTCTGCAGTCCCTCTTGACTGGGTGCGCATCCTGCGCAGATGGCCACGGTTAATAGAAGGGGACAGGGTAGCTGCCCCGGGGGATCCGAAAAGTGTAGGCAATGTGGTGGAGGTAAGAACAGACAAAACGTTGGTAAACCTCTTCCACTTAGAAAAGAAAAATAAACTCACCCGGTACCGCCCAGATGTGATCAGATGGTGGAGAACAGCAAACCTGCACAGAATACGTGTGCTGCGGGATAAAAATGTTTGGATCTCATATCAGCCAAACACCCCCGTGATGAAGCTACCCTTTGACCCTGACGAATGGCAGTGGGTCCCCATGCGAAAACCCAGGTCAGGGACGAATCTAAAATTGCACACTCTATCAGTGAAGGCCGCATATCGTCTGCTTCGACCGGTGAGCATAAAAGATATAGTGAAGGCCCGATGGAGGTCATGCTTGAATGTAGGGACTGAGGCAATCTGCCTGATCCGATGGTTCACCGCCACAAGGTCTAGGCCTGCGAAGATGGCCTCTCTTCAATGGCAGATAGAACACCTCTGTCTGCCCACCAATGACTGGTTGATAGATCGCACATACCTGGAGCAGAAGGGGCGGGCATTACCGTGGTGCAAGTCATGCCACACTGCCTTTCCCCCTTGCATAATCCCTGAAACCATAGAGCACATATTCATGCAGTGCCCAGAGGCAGTTCTTACATGGCGATACATGGCGATGGTGGGATAGGATCTGGACCCACTTGGGCACTGAATCTCACTGGCCATGGGATTGGAGGGCCATATTATGCGAGGCATGGTCCTCCCCTACTGACAATACCTTTGAAAACAACATGTTCAAGTTACGAGGGAGAGCGACCATGTGGACCCTCTGGAGGAAACGTTGTATACATGTTATGGAGGGGGTCTGCGTAACTGGGGAAGAGGCAACAGACATGATAAGGCAATACATTCAACAAGAACTCGTGGTTCACTGGCAAAAAATTAAAATCCAACTCGACTTATATCATTCAGCAAAGGACGTAACACAAGCATTTCACCAATTTTTTGGAGACTGGTTGGGCAATGAGAATGGGGGCTGAATCGCATCTGTTAGATGGGAGGGCAAGCCCACCCAGGAAGGCAACCAGGAGGAATTCAAGAGAGACTACCGTATCTGTTTAAAAGACTAGACTACTGTGGGCCAGGACATCCCACTGCGACCTGCCACAAAATTTCCCGACCCCTTCCTGCCCCACCAGCTGGCGATGGTGGATATGTAATGGTATGGAACAGATTGAACGGGTGATACAGAGCAGATATGGAGAGGACGGGTACCTAGAGGAATGGTATCCAAAAGAGCAGGAAGTAGCCGCTAAGGAATTACGAGTGATCAGGCGGTCTGGTGCAGACTGATACTAGCATACCACAAGTGTGCTCCTTTCTGTTCTACGCCAATAGTCAGTCTATAATTGAAAAAAGGGCGATGATAGTATGATTTCGATATGGCTCAAGGGGAGGGAGGAACTAACGTGTAGCTGTGTGTCTGGTGCCGGATTCAATGTGAAGAGGTTCCCCCTTCCCTTCGATATCCTGCTCAGTTGATCCCCTGGATCCCAAGGTAATCAATGCTGGCAGGAACACTCCACAATCTTTTCTGATGTATCCCAAATTCAGTTTGTATAAGAGACGTTGGACCCGCTTTCCAGCAGGTGATGCTCCCCACCAATAGATGGAGCCTCTCCCCAGGTGTTAGTGGTGTCTGCTCTTATCAGTGTGACGACCCATTTTCTGTAATCGCGCAAGTTTCTGCGTGAAGCTGCCTTGAGGGAACGGGTCGGGCTAATCGGGTGAAGTGCATAGGGATGGGTCGGTTGGGCAAGTTGCATGGATGCCCTCGCTTCTTTTTGTTTTTGTTTGAAAATTGTCGGGTTGGCGTCAGGAAGATCCCGCGCCAACGATTGAGTAACCGAGCCTTAGCGAGCGCGAGGAATAACGGGTGCCATAGCTTCTTTCTTGTTCTGCTGTGAGCACTAGGAAATTTTTGGCACGATTATCGCGCGGGAATATCGGTTTTTTTTTTAATTTTCAACTGATGCAAAGCCCCCACGGGCTCTCAAAATTGTTCTTTTGTCTTTTCAAATTTCCTTTCGTGTAATTAGGACTCAGGCCGACATGGACTCACGTCGTTATGATCAAAACCTCAAGCTTCGGTTCCCCCCAATCCGCTCTCTACTCTGCTAAGATTCGATTCCAACCCTCTCTTTTTTTTTTTTGCCCTCCCTGGTTCTAACGCACGCACACATCCCGTTCTATTCTGGGGGGCACCAGTCCAGTTACTCTTCCCGGCAAGCAAAAAAAAAGTAATACACAGTTGATGAGCGCAGTAGCGGGGTTCCGAGTCTCTCTATAACTCGCGGGTGGACGGATCGTTAGTGTGTGTACGTGCGGAAGCATTCGGAAAGGGAATCGGAATGAAAGAGGGGCGGCCTCTGCGGGTATGCCGGGGGGGAGGTCTCGCGCTCGTACCGGCATTCGTTCTCTCTGAGGGCAGACGCACACTAGGTAGCACTTTCCAAAATGCATCTGACCGCAATTACGGCCAAACGTGCACGAATCTAACCGCAATGACGTCAACTATAACTCGCGGATGGACGGATCGTTAGTGTGTACGTGCGGAATCATTCGGAAAGGGAAACGAAATGAAAGAGGGTCGGCCTCTGCGGGTATGCCGGGGCCGAGGTCCCGCGCGCGTACCGGCATTCGTTCTCTCTGAGGGCAGACTCACACTAGGTAGCACTTTCCAAAATGCATCTGACCGCAAGACTCACACTAGGTAGCACTTTCCAAAATGCATCTGACCGCAAGACTCACACTAGGTAGCACTTTCCAAAATGCATCTGACCGCAATTACGGCCAAACCTACACGAACCTAACCGCAATTACGGCCACTGCGTTGAGGAAAACGTCCAAGTGTGAGTATGCCCTGAGCTTAGATGGCAAAGATCAACGGTCCGACAGGAAGAATCCGGGTAAACGAGACTCTTCAGAAATTCGCGCGCGCGGACGGCTACGAGCTTGCGGGATCTGGAAGAAGAAAGGAGGCAGACCTTCGGAGGTCTCTGCAAAGGGATGATACGCAGAAATCGAGAAAGGGTCCAAATTAGGGGAAAAAGAATTTTTTTGGAGAAAAACAGTAATAAGGAATGTAGCAGAGCTGCAGAAGAGATGTGCCCGTGCAAGGGTGATGCGCACAAATCGCGAAACGGTCCAGTCCACCCAAAAAATAGAACAGAAAAACTAAATCAGGAATTACCTAGCGAGAGGTATGCACCTCGCCATGAAGGTTGCTCACAGGGGTTGAGATCTTGGAGGTGCAGGAGTCCTCCAAGTGGAAACATTGGAGACTTCTCTCGGGATATATGTTGAAAT